TGGGAATACGAATTTACAGGTATCCCCAATGTTAGATTACTAATGAATAAACGTTTGGTATTCCTTTCTCTCTCCCACAAAATACGTTCAATTTTAGCTAACAACTAGATATTGTTTAACAGCTAGTTTTCGAAATGCTGCTAACCTCTCTAGAGCACAACTATCTTGCAACAAGACAAAATAAAAGTTTTAAGTATCCACACTTCTGGTGGTCTGTTGGTAGAATTGCATTTTTAGTGTTTGCCTATTATTGGGCTTCATTGGTGAGGGTGAGAAAATACATAGAAAAAGGCAAAATACAGACAACATAAAGGAAAATTTGGTTAAAAAAAATCCCCAAACCAACAACAGCAGACAAATACAAACACTAAGCACTAACAACATCCAAAATAACTGTGTCTCTTTTCAGTTAAGTAAGCTGATTGATACTGTATAATATACTGAAAAACAGCATTCAACATTCAGTCTGCCTGGAGCATTTTTTTGTCTGGACAAGGATTGGAATTCCCTGCAATGGCCCTGCCTCCTATCAATACTGATTTTGCTGCCATAATTCCCAATAAGAAGTTCTAAACAGGAGTTTTGCTCCAGATTGCTTCTACTCCCCTTGGGACTTCATTCAAGTAAAAGCACTTTACTAGGGGAAGATTGACGGAATGAGGCTGTTATACATCACTTTTTAATCCATGTGCAGCCTGAAGGAGATTTGGTCTGTTTTGTGACCTCCTAATGTTCATCAACATTTTCCAGATACTGCCTTTTTTTTTTTTTTGCTATCAAGGCCTGGTTGTTCCTGAGTTATCCCTTAGGCAGAAGGAGCATCTAATTGGTTTTGTGTAGAATGGGTCTTTCAGATGTCCAGCAGTTCCAAATAGCAGATTAAAAGAAAGAGAAATGATTTTTGAGATACATTTGGACCAACAAAGTATTTTGAAATAATGCTCAATGAGTGGCATGACACATTAGAAGGAAGTCTTGGAATGATAAATTTGTGAACTTGCACTAGTTTCTTTTGTATCTAAACCCCAGGTGCAGAAATAGAACAAGTTTTTCTCCTTGCAGGTGAATTGTAATGCCACATTTTATGGGAAATGGACAGTGAAAAAGGTGGAATCCCTCCTGCTTTTCTTAGGCTTTTTGTACCATGTAATTCTGCTAAGTAAAAGTGGCATTTTGGGGCAAGGGATGAAACCCACAGGAAAAAGCTTACCAAATACCACATTTCCAAATGGTACCAAACCCTCACAGATACCTTCCCTGGAAATTAAACATTTTCTTTCCTAAAAGAAAATACATGCTAACATTGTTTTGTAAATCTGATTATCCTACCACAACTGAATTGACCTATGTTTAGCAGAGCCTTTTCTCTTTCAGAAACATCTTTAATAGCTTAAAATTCTTTTATACACTGTCTACAATGGCAGGTCTTATCTGTATTACAGTGGCATGGTTAACAGGTAATTATCTTGCACGGAGAAAAGGTGAGAGGGAGGAAATTTGTGGTGTTAAGATATTTGGAGATAATTGGCTAGTTTTGTTGAAATATCTCTTTTAATTTAACATTCAGTTCCCACTGTTGTATTCACATATGGATAAAACTAATGGGAACTTATCTGTGAAGACACAGTCGCTATTTAGCAAAACCAGTCTGTTTCCTCTCTTTTAACTAGAAAGTAAATATACAACATCCCTTCTTATTCTTACAAGCCTATGGTTTATAATACAAATGGGATAATGAAATGTGATAGACTCTAGCTATTATGGAGTTCAAATGCTCTTTCATGTTGGTTATTTATTCTTTCCCAACTGCTGCTGCTGCTACTGTCACCACCTTTTCCTCTAGGGCTTGGTCCTCCCTCAGTCTTTTCCTTTTCCCCCAGAGCAGATTCAGGCTATTTTTATTTCATTTTGTCTACTGAGCTGAATCCTTTTGACAGGTGGATGTAGATAATACTGTAGCCTAAAGAAAGGACACTAGGGAAATCACAGCATCTGGTTCTGCTAATGAAAAATGTTCTCATTCCTATGTAATAAGGAGGATTTCTCAAAGTAGAGCTCCAAAGATGTACCTGCATCCCGCAGGTACTGAGAACAAGGAGTTATTTGACCAAACCTCTCTATTACATTTTCCTATGATCATTGTGAATTTAAATTTCTACCTAATTCTGTTTCTTAAGGGGTTTTTGTTCTTTCCATAGTGTTGAAAGAAGATAAGCCTTCTTACCTGCTGCAATATTCAAAGTCACGTCTCCTTATAAGATAAGATTTCAGTTTTGGGGGACTTTTTAATTAAAAAAGAAGGCAAATAAGGCAGGATAAAATTGTACATTATTAATGGTGATATTGTAATTTAGGTCAATCAATGATACTGAGATTTAGTGTGTGTGTGTGTGTGTGTGTGTGTGTGTGTGTATATATATATATATGTGTGTGTGTGTGTGTGTGTGTGTGTGTATGTATGTATGTATGTATGTATGTATGTATGTATGTATATTTCTACTCCTCTGTTACAAAAGAAATTGATGTCTAGCAAGTATAAGAGGATCAGAAAAAAATGGCATGGCACATAATGGCTATATAATAGAAGGCAAGATACTTCGGTGTATTAGTTGCAGATCTAGGATTTTCACTCTTGTTCTACTTATTGGCTTTGCACAGCCATGTGGTTGGCCATTTTGGGAACCATATGCTTTTAGCTTGATGTATTAGAGATCTTTTAATGTTCTTAAGGCATACTTAGCTGAGTTTAAATACAAATATTTCATGAACCAGTGAATGCAGTTGTTACTATTGCATCTATTCAGATACTGTATGCTTGATCAAAAATTGTACAGGTAGCACTGGACTTGCTCTTATGATTAAATATATCATTCTCTAAAGTGTGCTTAGACACTAACTTTCCAGTGACAATAGTATCCACCTAAACTATGTAAAGCATACTATCAAGTCAAACCACAGTACCTCCTTCATTTACCTGAAAACAAATTCAAGACTATTCATACCTAAGATATAATTTTGTCCAAAGACATGTCCACACTTCTGATTTCAGGGGTCCTGGGTTCTCTCTGAGCTTGGTGTTATTTTTCTCTCTGAGCTTGGTGTTATTTTTTTCCCCACTGGCATGCCTTGTCAATGTTGGTGTTGGTGTAGTCTTAGAGGTTCTTTGGTTGAGTTGTTTACTCTTGGCTTGTTTGACAGTTCCTTGTTTGGTCTATTGGGGCTGACTGCTCCCCATCAGCAATCAGCACCCAGATGAGAATAGATTAATTTTAAGGTTATGATCCAAGTTAACCATCAACTATCATGTAAACAACCCACCCCACTGATAGGGCAAGCCACTAGAATATAAACTGGGAGCAAACCCCATTCCTTACTAGCACTGATAATGTTACCTAGTTTGGGTAATGAAACATCTGCAAGAAAGGGAAAAAAAGCTTCAGAGAGCACGAAGGACCCCTCATTTCAACCTTGAGCTACAAATATTTTCCTTTACTGGTACATTTCTGAGCTGTTCAGTCTTCACTAAAGGGGTATCAACAGTTTCTAGATGGAAGGAAAGGATGTCACCTTCTACTTACCTGTAGTCTAGCATAAATCGGTTCATTTCCTGCTCCAAGTTAAAAATAATGCTTGCAATGATGCTGACCCAGGTGTTACTTTCTAGTTTAATTTTTTAAGGCAAAACCCTGCCCTTTAGTTGGCAGAGGAAGGACTGCTCTCTTCACTTGATTTGATAGCTGTTGCCCCATGCCACTCTATCTACTCTGGAGAAACATCTCAAAAAGCACTTCTTGTGTTTGTTATATATTTTTTCTTTTTCTTTTTAGTGGTTATAATAGCCTAGCAGTTCAAACATTTGCCTGATATGTCTATTGGCCCAGAGGAAAAGTAACAAATTTGGTGTCTGCCGAGTCTTTTTAGAGACAGAATTTTTCTCCCTTTGTTCAGGGTGTATTACACAAAAATATTCATTAATCAAAACTGATACCAATTTATTTCTCATTCTTATCACTATGCTATATTTATCATTTCTGTATTTTCTACTTGCCTAAGGATTCTTATCTATAATTTTGGTGAGTTTCTATTAAGTCCTTTCCTTCCTTCCAGTGTGAATTGCTTACACTTGTGTAAATGACAGGATCAGTTAGCTCTCCCTTTGGATGATTTCCCAACTGGAAACTGGGAGAAACTCCTCAATTTGATTTTGCTGGATAGGATTTTGGGAATTTTCTCCCAAGAACAGGTGCCTCCATCTTGAACTGCTGCAGGGACTTTAACATCCCTCAGTCCCTTGCTGGGAGGTAAAATTTTTGTTATGAACTTCCAGCTGTTTGTTGGCACTTCTGGATTTGGCATAGTTATAGAACTCAATTGCTCCACTCAGCTTTTAGCTGCTTACATATTTCAATCCATGGCTGAGCCCCCCCACCCCCCCCACACATTGTCAATTAACTGCAACACCAAGCCAACTTTGTCTTGGTATTTCCTGCTTTCCTCCTCTTTCCTTTCCTGTCACATTTCTTTTCCCCTCTTCCTAATACATGAACACAATTTGTGAGAAGACATTCTCCTTTTATAGTTGGAGGTTCAGATGTCTTCCAGTTAATTCAACTGTTTCAAAGTTCTGAGAGAGAGGGAGAAGAGAAAAAAGGTTTACAGAGTCAGCATGTTGCCCCCAACAATCTGGGTCCTCATTTTACCATCATTGGAAGGATGGAAGGCTGAGTCAACCTTGAGCCAGAGAGAATCGAACTGCTAAACTGCAGGCAAGCAACAGTCAGCAGAAGTAGCCTGCATTTTGTATAGATATATTGTGTATAAACGTGGAAATATATATTTTTAGAAAATTCTGCCCATAGGAAGGAAGATAATTGCTTTCCTGGAATGATACATTGGGATGGCAAAACATCAGCAGAATTGTCCCAATGGTGCTTTTTCAAAAGGCAAGTAGACTTTGTTTTTCCCAACAAACAAAAACAAAGTCTGGTTGTATTTTGAAAAAGCACCTTTGGGACAACCATGACCTGAATGACTGAGAATCTCCATAGACCAAGAGTGTCAAACTCACGGCCTGCGGGCCAAATGCGTCATATGCTGTGACCCCCCCCCCAGTTTAGCGAAGAGAATAAAAGTCACAATACGTCACGTGAGAACAACGTGACACCCCTGTCATAGACTATCAGCAGAATTGTCCAGTGGGAGGCTGCGTAGTATACAATTGAATCTTTTGCAAGCACTGGAGAAGTGTCTCAAAATCTAGATAGATATATCTCAGCTATTACAAAAACAGGAAAGGAAATTAGTTTAAACTCAAATACATTATAAATTATTTAGAGAAATAGTTATTTCTGAAAATGTTTTTTTTAAAAAAATGACTCGGAATCCCTACAACTAAAAACAAGGTATCACCGTGCCACTTTCCTTACCCTGTGATGTAAGCAATAGCAGCAGCATGGAAGGGGAGGATACTTCGATGAAAAAGATCTAGAAGTTATCCTAGATTTTCTGATACGAAATGAAAGGTAATCCATTGTGACAAGGATGCAGGGATCCCTGCTAGTCCTCCTCACTATATTTTTCCTAAATAAGGTGAAGATTGCCATCATCCTGAATAAGACAGATGATTTCCAATTACTTTTAAGATATTATCTATAAGGAAGAGAGAAACTGTTTAATTTCCAGCTTCACTTACAATTTTCATTGTTCATTTATTCTGAGTGGAACTACAGCACATTCAGCTGCTTACTCTTTTTGTTCCTTTTTAAATGGAATCTATTACACAAAAATGAATACAGATTAAAAAGACCTGCTGATTGGTTGGACAGGTGAAGTGGGTACAGAATTTTAGTACTACGACAAAAAATCAAGAAAGGCAGACACGTCTGCTAACATGATGGAGCTTTATACAATAAAGGTCTTCAAAAGGAAAGAAACATCTGATTAGCACATCATTGCCTCCTTGCTTTGAGTTCTTTGATGGCTTTGGATAGCACTCATCAAGTGAAAGCTAAAATGGAATTATTCACACACAAAAAAGAAGTGTTAGGAACAAAAATTCCAGGAATGTAATATCTGGCTTTGATGTAAGAACATCTGAAATGAAATAAGCTAGAACTGACACATCAGGATAAGATAGCAGGATGGGCAATATTACCTTAAAAAAAATCATGGTTCTATATGCTCAAGCCTTATTGTTTTCCAAAGAAATTTTCACTTTAGATTAACCTCACAATATTAGGTAAATGCCTGTGGATTTGGCCAGTCTTCAACAATTCTTGAACATGGCCCAAGGCATTGGGGATAGTGATGGTTCAGGCTGGGAAGACTGAGGTCCTGCAGCAGCAGTTTATACTCTTTATAGCCATGTAAATTGACCATGAAATGAAAGTCATGCATTTAATTCCAAATTTGCTTTAGGATAAGTTGTATCAAAGTAGCAAGCAAAAACTATTAGATAAAGTACGATTGCCTAGAAAATCTCATCCAGCCTTCGAAATAGATGTTACACATCTGCAATGGAAAACTGATTGTAGAATGCAGTAGTTGCTGTGAAAGGACCTATGCAAATATATTTGAATCAACAGATTTGATTCTTGCCAACTCTATGAGTATTTTTTCAATCCCTAACCTGTTCATTATTAATTTATAGGGACCAGCAGGTCCAGCACTGATAGTACAGTCTAAACAAGGGTATCTATAGTAACAACTCATTGTTTTTAGATGATAAATCCTGGTGAGTGATATTTTTCCCCCCATTTCTGACTAAAGATGTAAGAAACTACAACTAGATACAGCTTTAGTTTGGAATATTGACACTTCAAATATATAGTTCATCTAACACAACAGCAAAAACTAATACAAATGCATAAAAGAAGCCCAAGGAGAATTCACTGTGAAATGCTTGTAATTGGAAATGTAGAAAATCCATTGATAAAAATAAGCTGCTAAACATAGTACCTTTGTCAATTAAGTTTAGGACTAAAAGAGACAATTCTTCCTTTGCAATCAAATTCCCTTGCGTGCTAAAGGACATGGAAGTAATGCTTCTGAAAATATGCTGTCCTTCTGAGACATTTCAGGCATTTAACTGCTACTCTCTGCTCTTGCCAAGTCAGTGTAAATCAGATTTTTTTTTGGCTGCAAATCTTTGACTGCTGAGAATGTCAAAGGCTTTGGCTTATTGTACAAGGTCAATCATTAGTATTTCTTTCAGGCTATTAATAGGACCCAAGGAAACTTATGAAAGTAAATTATCAAGGGGAAAAGGGGGGTTGACACTGCTTTGATGAATTATAATTAAAACAGTAAGTTGGTCCTTTAATTTACCCCTTTGCTGGCAGAATTCAGGATAATGATTAGAAGAATGAGAGATTCTCACAAAATATGCAATTCAGTTAAAACATGTGGTACCAAATTCACTCAGCCTTTTGTGGAAGCAATCTCTCCATTGTAGGTGAGGGAAGGGAATCTTAGTGGTGTTTTTTTAAAGACCCATCTACATATCACTGGTCCAAATGGGCATATTGGTCAGGAGCAATTTCCTCCTTTCTGATGTGGGGGCTAAGCAGAGCATACTAGTAGATGAAGCTCACTATAAAAGAATTCCTCAGAATTAATTAGAAGCTGAGCTATGCTAATAAAGCAATCTATTCAATCATTTGCAGGCTGCTCACCTTTGAAATAGATTTCAGTATGCATCACCTTGTTCTAAGTGCATAGAGCAATATAGTGTGAGAGGCTTCCTCTCTGCAGATGTCCAGGGAGCAATTTTACAGGATGGGGTCAACAGTTCTGCCTCCCTCATGTTAATTGTTCTGGAATCTCCTTCATGAATGAAGAGTGTGATGATAGCTGTTTATAGCAGGAGATAGCAGGCTAACTCCTGTTTCAGACCGCATGACAAAAGGTCCTAGATACAGGATGAAGTATTGTAGACATGGAACAGCAGCAAAAGTTTGGGTTCGCCTGACTTCCCTACATAGAACTTTGTACAAAAAAACTAGCTAAGGATTATTTCTGAAAACCTCCACTTCCTAAAACGCTTAGGATTTTAGAACTGAGGTATGCCTGACAAATGATAATATCCTCTAATCCCATTCACATTATTGTAATCACATTATTTTTCTTATACTGAAAATGTGACATAATTTGGTAGAATCGTAATCCAATCCACGTGCCTGTCCACAGACACACCCAGAAAAGCCATTTTGTACTCTTCAAGTCTGACTTCATTCATGGGAACAGCACTCATGGGCCCAATATTCTGCCTTCCATTAGTTTTAATCACCTTGCCCTTCTTCTCACCCCTTTTAACTGTAGCCTGTCCAAACGTCAATATTCATTACAGACAGAAATGTTTACAGCATCCCACCTGCTATTAGCACTCTTGAAGGGACTTTGGTTTGTTTTTTTTTAAAGTCATTTGTAAAGAGCAATGACAACTCACAGACATCATCAGCCTTTTACTGATCACTTAGAAATGGACTTCTAGGGTCAATTAAAAAATCTAATCTGAGTTGAGACACATGGACACAGACAAGACTACAGTAATTAGCCAGCATGTAGAGTGTGCCATTTCCTTTTGTCCAGAGAGAAGGTGCCCCCATTTCCCTCTCCCAGGAGACATTGAAGTCTTATGTTTGACCTCTGCATGATCTTTCATATCGTGTGAGAAAAATGCAGCCATTTTTTTCTGACTGCATAAGTGAATTCAAAGCAGGAAAGCAATAAATATGTTAACTCACTAGGTCTACACTGTTCAAGTACTGCTTGCTGTAAACACTTTTTTAAAAGCAAGAAATCACGTGGTGACTAGGAAAAACAAACAACTCAAAAGCTAACTGATCAATCAACACTCTAAGCAACTAAGAAAGCCAATCAGTTTTTATATGGATTGCACCTACAAAAGTGCATAATGCACCAGTTCATTTTTAACCATCACAACTTCCTTAGCTTCAAAAGGATCAGACATTCCTTAGGAACACAACTGTCAATACATAAAAACAGGAAGGAATCACTTCAATGAGGGAAATCTTGTGTCAAAGTAGAAGAGGAATGAAGGACTTTCATAAAATCATAGTGTCCCTTCAATGGTAAATAAGGAGTATTAAAAAAATATCAGTACTCTATAAATACATAGTTGAAGCTGGATTTCAGCACAGATGAGTTGCGTGACCAGATGGCTTTTCCACTCACATAGATTCCTGCTAAAAGACTCTTGAAGAATGCTGGATTTTCCTTTCCAACTGCACTATTTAAAAGGCTTGGTGCAAATTTGTGCTCCTGGGGATATTTTTTTAAGTTCCCAGGCAGATGAATAATGGAGTTTTTTCAAGTATTCTCTAAGGTAGGAGAATCTACTTGCAAACCATTCATCTGAGCCATGAACAACGAGGTTCTCGTATGATGTGAGGGGCAATGTACAGTGGAATCTTCAAGAAGACGTAGCCACTGCGCTTTTGTTACCTTTTTTCTTCTCTTTTCTTTTTCTTAAAAAAACTTTAAATATTGTTTTTTGTTATCTCTTAATATACACCAAACAATTTTCATGCAAAGCAGCAGTCATGGAGAAGTCTAAGCTTCCAACGACCTTCAAGGTTACAGCTTGAATAGCTGAACTATTTGATAAATCCAACTGATGTTTGAGATGCACAGTTGCTGTTGTTTTCCTTCATTCTTTCAACTGGAATTTTGTGAGTTTTGAGCTAAGAAACAGGGGCAACCTTTGCTTCTTGTAGGAGGGTCTCACAGTATTCCCAATATATTCTTTGTGGCCTCTTTGCCAATTTCCTTAATTCCCCAAAGTCTTTGCAATCACTCCTTATGTTTTTTTCCTAGGAGTTCCTGCTCCTTTCTTCAGCTTTCCATAGACATGGCACCAATAAGTTGCTCTACTTTGTATGCTAAGCGCTGCCGGCGCGCCTGCTCATCCTGCTCCAGAGCCCCAATGATCTGGAATCAAAATGAATACAAACAAGAAAGGACAGAAAATAATAAGAATGAACTGGATTTAAGTAGATTAAAAGGAAAAGGAAGAACAATATATATAAATAAATGGTCTTACAAATTCATGACAATTTCATTGTGCATTGATAAGAACACAGTGCATAGGAATGATGCTTTGAAATTTTAGCCTTATGGTAAGTCTGTGAATGAGAATAACTAGGGTCTTCAAATGTTTGCATAAGTTGAAATGTACTATAGAACTGTTAGCCACACTCAGTCTTTAACTCTACTTTCTAGAGAAAATGTAATGGAAAAACATAATGGAAAGCACAGAATTTCATTGAGTTCATAAACCCCTCCTTATTTTTGAGTTACCATGTTGACTCACTTTGCCAGCAAAAAGCACATTATGTTCTGGAGACTACATTTCCTCTATTATTTAGCAAATGGCTGCTGCACTATACCATGTTTTTTATACATGCACTTAAAAGACAAAAACCTTGCCTTTAATACTTGTAACTGCAAAATAGGCATTACTTAGCACTGCAAATTAAAGGGCTGACCAGATAGTGGGGACTTAGACATTAAGTAATTTATCCATCAAAAAAGAGTATGTGCTGATAGTAATATTTTGTAATATATATATTTGGTTGTGCCATGCAACTTGTCTCTGGGAAAATAGCATATGGTCAAACAACCAGATAATTTTGCAGGCATTCAGAGAATAATACAAATTTTCAATAACAACCTTCTGCTTTATCTAAAGATTGTTTAATCACTTTGTGATGAAAATTATTACTACAGATATTTTGCAAGCAAATTCCTTTAAGATATGACTTTTATATATGTGATTTCATGATATACATCCTTTTTATATACACATTTTGAACAGAGAGCAATGTAGCAAAATTTGGAGAAGTGTAATACATTGAATTTTGGCTTGCATCTTACTTTGGAACATGTGAATTAAATTAGTTAATTGATTTGGTTTGCATTTTAGCATTTCTTTTCCATTCCTAGCCATTAGTAATTTCATTCTATTTGAAAAAAAAAATGGGACACTGGCCAATATAATAATATAATTGGAAAAGAAGCAACACAACACAAAAATAAGTAAATATGTCATTTTTTTTGCTTATTAAGCAACTTTTTGCTTATTTTTTATAAACAATATAAAAATTCAGAAGATTTTCATAAGATTCAGAAGCCTATTTTTAGAATAACAGTAACTCATTTATTGTGAATTCACAATTCAGACAATTATTCCTTAGGCAGACTCATCTGTTATTACTTTTATTTTACTTTTACTAAAGCTATTTAATATGCTCAGACTGTGAGAAATGAAAACTAATTGTGGTGAACATTGGTCCTTTATATTTTGTTGCATACTTTGTGTTGGGCATTATGTAGCATATCTTTGTGTCATGCAGTCATTTTATGGTTACAAATTGCTCTGAAAATAAATTGGAATTATTTTCGCATCCCAAATGGCATTATAAGATTCAGCCAGATATATTTGAAAAGAAGGTACTTGCAAAACAATCTTATGATACTCTATCCAAAAACAAACAAACCCCTGAATACTTCTTTTATGGTTTTCCAAACCCAGCAAGGTAAGCAATTTAGTGCCAGACCTCAATAGTGCCAATAATGGCGGTTTAATTTTCTAAAAAATTTTTGGGATGTATTAAGAAAAATAGGTGCATCATTTCTCCAGTTAGTTTAGCATCTAGACTACCTTTGAGTTTGGTTTGAGTTTATTTGTTCCTGCTGTGAGAATGTCTGGTTGTTGTTAGGTGCTGTTCCTTGGGCTTTGATATAATGTTACTATGTTGTTTAATTATTTTAATCTTGTTACTGGATTGTGGAATGTCAGCTGTTTAAAGTTTGATTGTTTATGACAATTATGCAGTAAGGCAGGGGTGGGATTCTATTGGTTTGGATTAGTTCAGGCGAATTGGTAGCTCCAAAGATCAGCTGGGAGCAAACCAGTTCGCTAGCAAGTGGGCCCGCTCGCCTGCCCGCCCTCGCTTTACCTACCTTTATCTTCTCAGCTGCTCAGAAGATTCCTGCTTGAGAAGGAAAACAGCTGAGGCATGGCAGAGTGGATTGCCGCGCCTCAGCTGTTTTCCTTCCCAAGCAGTAATCTGGAAGGTAAGTCTTCTCTAAACGCGCGCAAAGCACATGCTCAGCGAACTGGTTGTTAAACCTGGGTGAAGGGTTTAATCAACAAATATGTTTCTCAAAAAATAAATAAATCCCCAAACCCTTTGAAGAAAGACGTTTCTCACCTCCTCACTGTATTTACTGACATAGGAGTATATTTCATTGAGCGCACTCAGCATGTTGAAATCAACATAGTGCAGACGTGACTGTTCTGCGAGGTAGGCATTCATGTCTTGGTCACTGATGGCTGGGAGTTTTGCAATATCTGCATAATACCTGCAAAGTAATGGAGAAATTGTTACTGACTACTTAAAGCACAAATGTTTGAGAGAAAAAAGAAGAAGCAATCAAGAATGAATTGAATTGAAGCCACAAGTCATTTCTGCAGGAAAACTATGTAAAGGTCAAAATGAACAAAGCATCAGGTGGATTTTGTAGGGTATGTGATGAACCTTAAAGTGAAAAAAAATGTGTTCCTACTATGCTCATGCCATAATAAATGCACAATAACAGAATTTATTAGCAATGTATAATACATTGTTGCATTGTATATACGATTGTTTGTGATATATGAATATCACTAATATAAATAACAATTCTACTTATTAAGTACTTCTGTAGTTGAATAAGAAGCAGCCCAGTAATAAAGCTAAAATGTAATCTAATTAAATGTAGAGAAAAAGATTTATGTAAGAAAGTAAACGATGACAGCTGGAGTTGACAATGACAACAATATTTGTTTATATTTTCCTCTTTGGTATTGTTTTTATCATAACAATGATGCTATTATATTTTCAGTAAATATTATCTGGATTCCTTCCAGTTAGGTTTCAGATCTGGAAACAGTAATGAGATTGATTTTGATTGCACTTGTTGGCAGCAATAGCACCTATATAGTGCTACATAGTGCTTTTTTGCACTCTCTGGGAGGTTTGCAATGCCAACATATTGCCCCCTCCCAACAGTCTAGGCTCTTATTTTACCTATCCTGGAAGTCTGAGTCCATCTTGAGCCCAGTCCGGATCGAACTCCAGATTGTGGGCAGAGCTTAATCTGCAGTACTGCATTCCAATCACTGTACCACAAGGACTCGTGGCATCTGGTTGGATCAGAATGGCAGTAGTTCATCCAGTCTTGCCCTCCTTGATTTCATGTATCTTCTGATAATGGTATAATTCTTCAGGATGAAGAATTAGTAATGGGAGGCATGGCATTGTTGTGGTTTTCTTCTTTTCTCAGGGGTTGTCTCCAGTATTGGCTGGGGAAAGTCTAGCTCTAAGGCTCTGCTTTGTGGACTTCAAAACAGGAGCCTCTCCTTCCACTTCTATTTATCATCTACATTAAGCCACTGAGTGAGGTGATATGATGATGGGGGGAATCAGGTATTATCAGTATGGTGATAATATTCAGTTATGCATCTCCATTCTGGGCTGACCAAGTGATGCTCTCAAGATTCTTTCTTAGTATCTGAAAGCTGTAGGAGTCTGGTTGGGGAGATTTATGCTTAGCAATACTGGACCATCCCTACCACCCAGGGACTAAGTTCTAAATGGTTTAGTAGTGTCTCAGATGGTGCCATGGTTAGGAGATCCTCCTAGGCTCCTGCTCCTATTTGGAAACTGATAGCAGCTCTGGCTAGCATGATATTGCTCAGATCCATATTGTGCATACCTCAGTATGCCGTGAAATATCCCAACTTCTTAAGCTATCCTAGCTTCTTCTGTGCTTCCAGGTACAAATCAGAATGAACCACTATTACCACTTATAAAGCTTTTTATGATGCAGGGCTTGGTTGTGCATGTAAACTGCCTGTCTGTAGGTATGAACCAAAGTGGCACAGTGGTAAGAGTGCAGTATTGCAGGCTACTTCAGCTGACTGCTAGCTGCAGTTCAGCAGTTCAAATCTCACTGACTCAATGTTAACTCAGCCTTCCATCCTTCCGAGGAGGGTAAAATGAGACCCATATTGTTGAGGGGGGGAGGCAATATGCTGACTCTGTAAACCGCTTAGAGAGAGTTGTAAAAGCACTGCGAAGCAGTATATAAGTCTAAGTGCTATTGCTATTTTGGAATCTGTAAATGGTTCCTTAATACTGATCTTTGAGTAGGGAAGAAAACACAACTGCCACTCAGAATGCCACCCAGATGCAGAGTGAAATTATACTAGACTCAATAACTGCAAGCTTGGGGAAGCTCAAAAATTCTTGTCATGCAGCACATACCCACTATTTGAATACTGACCTTTCTACCCAGCTTTTATAGCTGGGTATATCCTTGGCATACAGCAGCTTATTGGAGGGGGAATCTTTGCCCAGTCGATGCTCTGAGGTGGAACATGAATCCATAAAAGTCTGAGCTACAACTGAGAGGCAGGCATCGGTGATACTTCCCTTGTGGATATCAAAGACGAACTGTGGATTTTTAATTACATTCACCCAGAAGCGAAGAGGAAGACTGTGTGACATAAATATGCATTAAGATTTTTTTTAAAAAATAGCAACATATTCCTACAATCATAGCTTTCCTTTTTTCTTTTCACAAAAATGTTAAATAAGAATGGTAATAGTAATAATAGCAGAAATGAGGAATATAGTACTGTACATTCCAATAATGTAGCACTGTATTATTAATGGTACTTGGCAACCAAGATGAATTAATTATATTTAGCATTATATTCCAGCAAAGATGGATATCCTCTTCCTAAATACTAAAATCAAAATACAGAATTATGAAGAAACTATTGTATTTGAATGTATTGAACTATTTGACTTATTTAGGTTGGAGATCTAGCCAAAGAGGGAAGTCTTTCTTTTGATTTAGATAATCCATTTTCCCCTCAAACATTTTGTTCTATTCTTGCTTTCCGTTTCTTTTAGTTTTAATGCAGTAATGAGCATCTTCAATGTATATTCATTAAAACTCTCTTCTCATGGATTTACAATAGTGTATTCCACCCTAAATATTATCTGTAACGATCTTTTCTTCCTATTCCTTTTATTCTTCAGATGGAAAACATCACTAGATGCCACTGTTTGCCTCTTTTTCCCATAAATACCAATATTATGTACAGAGGTGAGAAAAAAAGTCCAAATCTCTATGTAATATAAAATCCACAATAACTAGAAACAGAAAAAGAACCATAATATGAACAAGGTAACATATTTTTATTTCCATTTTCTAGAGTTGGAGGCTAAGGGAACCCAACATTATCAAAGAATAGAATGTTGTAAAGTTAGCTTGAAATATGAATAAAAAACCTAAATAGAATACCATTGATTTTCTCTGTAACCTGTCTCACAAAAACAACAAAAAACATACAAACATTTTAACTGACCATAATCAACAGCAAAGACCCAAAAATATCTTTTTTTTCTTTTGATTCCTCTATATTGTTGATAGTTAACAATACTGAAGACCTAGGCACCAGAAAATTGAGGAAATGCTATTTTCTGGGGCTCCTGATGCCTTGATTGCTGTTTTTGCAGCATTCTAGGCATGACATGTAGAAGAGTTAGTCTAGGTCAGTAAGAAAATGCAAAAGGTGCTAAAATCAATTGCTGGCATTTCCAATTAGACTATGTTGCAGCTGATGTGAAAAATCTCTGCTTTATTCTCTGGACAGCAGCTGCAAGTCAGAATATAAAGTCTGGGGCTAAATAAGCAAACTGACTAATCTCATATAAATATACCCCTCTTTCCCCTCTTTCTGATTTTCTGAGATTTTGGGTATCTTTACTGTTGATAGTTGTCAGAGCTTCATATAAAGAAAGCCTGAATGAGCAAACTACATCAATGTTCGGTGTTATTTCAAGAACAAAGTGCAGTAATCCAATCTTCAATGTACCAGTGTGAAAAAGGACCCTCCCCATTAAATTCAGTAACTGGTTGAAGTACCTGAAATCGTATAAGCACTTTCTGAATTGTGATAAATCTCTCACATCACAATGGTCTGGAGATCTCTAATTTGGGGGTGCTTTTGTACTTTAGGACTTGAGCAATTGTTCAAATGCTGAGGCAAGAAAGATCCTCCAAATTAGGAGACTACCATATCCATGCTTGACAATTGATATGAAATTCTTTTTGTGGAGCATACTGTTTGATTTATTATGTATCTTGTTAGCTCCAAAGTTTCAGTTATCTACCTATAAAATATCCCTATGGAAGTCTGGAAGTAGATTCTTTGTTCTTTGGAGGAAACTTGACATAAGCACCAAAGTTTGTAAGAAGAAATAGGTTTTGCCTTACTAATTCTGCAATGAATCTCATTTTTTGGGAATAAATACTGAGGCAGCAGAGACCTGCAGATCTCTGGATCTTGTTTTTTTTAATGAGTTTAATGAAATGTTTGTCATAGAATAATCTCTCTGGGGAGGATTCTGCATTGTTCCAAATCTTCGTTGTCTCAGGAGATTTCTTAACTGTGGTTTAGTATAGCTTTGATAATGCTTTGTTGATCTTTTCCACTTTGATAAGCATACGTGACATTTTTACAGAGGTCTCCAGAAATTTATTTTGAACAGGGCATGATGTATGTTTAGAATCAGCATGATGAAAATATCCCTGGGATGTCTGTAAGATGTACATAAGGGAATATCACTCAACTCAGAGTTGACTGTTTAATGAAGTACTCCCACAATTGGCCCCACGTAGCTCTTTAACTGAATTTACTGAACAAGACCGCAATTATTTGTTCACATTGTCATATCATTTTTTGGATGTTTTTGTTTATGAAAGAAATGATTCAAGTACAAAACATGCTTCATTATTGTCTATTAAACTCCTTTTAATTACTTAAAATAACATTCAATGGCAAAGACACAGCTGAGTATAGAGGTTCTCATTCTAACACTTTTTTGCTGATCCATCAGCTTGTGGCAGGTAAGAGAATATGAGTAACTCAAGGGTAAAGAAACATAAGAACCTTTTCGATAGTAATTTGAGAGTTGAGGTGTTGTCTGTGTCCAGTTTTTCATCATAAATTGGTCTTGAGAAAAAAATGGATATTCCTATTTTTTTAATTTGTAGAATTTATATCCTATATTACGCTGTTGTATTTACAACATGAAAAACTTCAAAATAAATTCATTTTTTAAATAGATTGTTTAGACCAGATACTGTTAGGAGCACAGAATCAGGACCATCTGTTAAATTGTAGCAAACAAGATTTATTCAAGCTTATAAACAAGAATTTAATCATCTAAAGTTCAACTCTAAATTGGTACCAGATAAGGGTCAATGAAATTCAGGAGAGGTTGGACTTGAACCATTTGTGGGAACATAATGACCCTAACATGATGACACATTTAATTCAACCCTCCAGCTCTGCCTGCTCTTTTCCTGCATGTATGGACTTAACTCTATGTTTATAGAAAGATATTTTTGGTTCTGGCTTTCCTTTGTATTGAAGTGAGCCAATCCATTATATGAATCTGAGAGTTAGAAAATATGTAGTAACACCATATGTACCATGTTTGTGGTGTGTTTCATTAAGACTATAAATGGAAAAGTATCTTACTATCCTAATACTGACTGAAGACAGAATTCTTTTTAATGTGTGCATGGCCAGATGCAGTACTGGAAAACAATCATAACATTCTTTGAAGAGCTTTCCCATAATCCATCTGGTACATTGGCACCTGTCCATTTGTACAATGAAGTCTTAGGCTGCTTATTTTGTTAGGGTTTGGCCATGCTTTTCTATCCAAACAGCAAAGAACAACTTTTTGAAGAGATGTTAGAAATTAGTCTTTTAAAATCAGGCATTGGCAAGCAAAACTGAACCACAATTCACCTTTTCAGTAACAAAATAAACAACCTGTTTCTTATTGCTTTCTCTCAAGTATATGTCAAGACATCTAAACTCAATAAAATAGTAAACCACATTCTAGTCAGATGAACTGTTGTGTACCCAATGTTGGCTAAATTCTTCACTATTCAAACTTATTGGTTGTGTCCAGTGAGTATTTCTTTTTTCTTCAGCAGTGTGTAATTCCCCCAAAAATGTTATATTTGTTCTCATTCCACGTTAGCTCTTCTTGACCTTCAGTTGCTAGCAAAACACCTTATTCTCTATGGGACTTCAATCTGTTATTATTTTGTCCATCCAGTGGCAGTACAGAAAAAAAACAATGTTTTGCAGGAAAAATATGAGAGAACACAATCTATTTTTGGAAAGAGTAAATTCTGTTGTACAGGGGCAAACGGTTGCTGATAGAAAAGAAATGCAGGCAGAACATTTTTTTTTCAGTTGCCACATGCTCAAGGCTGCTGAAAAGGACAAAGGTGCCTACTCTTGTCCCCACCTTACGAAACTGCTTTAAATTAACCAGATTTCCAATATAGCAAATGTAACGTTTATCTTTAAGCACTTTGAATGCAGAAAGGCCTCAACTTTCACTGGTGAATCTCAGAGTTATAATTTCTCAATAAAATTGGTAATTCATAAATATGAGGAGCTGAATATAAAAGATACAGAATGGCCATATGTGGGTTAATGCAACTTAAAGTATTGTTTAACCATATATTTTCAATTACTTATTGAAAGAGCCAAGGTGGCGCAGTGGTTAAATGCAGCACTGCAGGCTACTGCTAGATCAGCAGGTCAGCGGTTCAAATCTCACCGGCTCAGGGTTGACTCA